TTCATAATCTCTGTAATGAAGTGATTGCTAGATGTAATATCTAATTCAATTTTCCTGTGGTTTGATTTTTAAAAAGCACTGAGATGATTTTTCTAGAACTAATTATTAATAGTTGTTCTTTTGGAATGGAAATAGTCTTATTTATCAATAAAACAAATCTATTATATTATTGTTACATAGACTATACAATATTCACTTTATGCTTGCTTTCAGAAAATTCATGTTAGTTCCTCAGGGTAGGAATAAAATTGTTTTTTTTTTTCCTTAATACTTCTGTAACACTAAGTGTGATGGTAAATATATTACTGGCAATCCTTAACACGTTAAGCTTTCATTTAGATAAATGAACTCTGTGAAATTTTTATATCTGATAAGATTATAGCCCCTGAGATACTGATGAAGGTTTTAGAATCATTTAGCTTCCTGAGATCAAGAATCATATCTTATTCCTATGCTCCTAATCTATATTATAGCATGTAGCATTTGATTTTTATCTAATATATTTGTTGAAATAACATACAGGTTAAGCTGTGAATCTGTGCTTCTTATATGCTCTAAAAAGCATAAAATCCCTAAGGTTAAATGGTGATATAGGTTTAAATAACTGATTAATAGCAAAAGCAGGACTAAGATGCAGATCCTTTACACTAGTTGTCTTTCCATGGGATACCACTTCCATGCTAGTTTTTTCTTCTTGAGTCATTTGACATACAAATAATGAGCAAAGTGGAGTGAATGGTACATGGTGTTGTGTAGGTTAATACTATATTCATTTTGAGTTTCCTATTTTTGATTGTAAATTTCAAACTGTAAAAATCTAGTTTTATGTAGCAGTTGTAATATAAAAGATTTGTAAGCCAGGCATAGTGGTACATGCTTATAATCCCAGCACATGGGAGGCTGAGACAGAAGGATTGCTGTGAATTCAAGACCAGCCTGGGCTAGGTGAGTTAAGACCTGTCTGAATTACATAGGGAGACACTGCTCAAAAACAGAACAAAACAAAACAAAACAAATTTGTAATTACATTCAAAATGTTTTATATATAAGTAGAAAAAAATCATATCCTATCCACTTGCTTTATTGTAAAATAATCAAGAGATAGACTAGTCCTTTCATTTACTCTAAGATTTTTTTCTTTATGGTCCCAGGTTAGGTTCTACCCTGGCTTCATATTTATATGTGATTTTTTTGATGACTTTGCTTTTATTTACATAACTCTTACGTGCAGTACTCTAATGTATAACAGAATAGCTGAGCATGGTAGCACATGCCTATAATCCCAGATTTTGGGAGGCTGAGGCAGGAGGATCTCCAAGAGTTTGAGGCCAGCCTGGAGTACACACTGTGTTCAAGGCCACTGGGCACTGCACAGTGAGACTCTGTCTCTAAACACCCCCCCCACCGAAAGTACAACAGAACATAAAACTACAATACTATACTATACTGTACAGTCAGCAAAAATTACAGAGCTGTATAAACAAGGCGTGCCATACCAAAAAATACACTGAGGCTTGATAAACAAGATATATAGAACTATACATAAAAAAAGGCATTCAAGCTAACATTTTAATCATGGAACCCTTCAAAGTCCTCATCAGCACCGTCATTGGAATTAGGATCAGGAGATGCAGAAGGCCCCTGTAAGGGAGATGACAAAGTAGAGTGGAAGAAGGAGTACTAGGCGTCCTGGGTCCCGCTTTCAGGAAGAACCCTGTTAGTGTGGTCTACTTTGTCATTTCCCTTCGCTTCAGAAACTTCAAGTTAGCACCGTAAAGCTTGCTCACATGCTGCTCTCCTTTCACTAGCCCTTCGGGTCCGTGGCCTCCAGCTCTCATGTAGCTGTGCTCACTCTTGAGCGCACCCACAAGCCCTCTGCAGACAGCTTCTTCGGTGCAGGACTTCCTCAGTTCTTTCCTCCTCCTCCCACTCTTCTCCGGGCTGCTGTCTCCAACCCTGTTAAATCTCCCGCGCTTCGCTCTCCCTCGTGTGTCCCACTGGTCCTTCAAGGTCGTGCACTCCACTCTCCAAAGTAAGCGTGTCAGCAAGAGCTGCTTCCTTCCTGGGATTGCCGTGTTCACCTTTGTCACGTGCATCTGAGTTATGCATGAAATGTTCCAGGCATTTTTTCCATATGCCTTGCACACATTCTCCCGTCACTCCTCCCCAAGCTGGCTCAGTGTTCTTCATGCAGGCTAAAGTGTTGTGTGATGTCCAGAAGTCACAGGGTTACTTCACTGTTTTCTGTTTTTGCTACAGCTTTGCAAAACGTTGTGGGCAAGCAGGGGCTGTAGTCCCCTGGTCCGTGGGCTCTAAGACAGCAGTTGCATTTTTAGGAAAGTGCATTACCCTTTCAACTGCATGTGGATCATCAAGGTGCTGGTGCATTATCAAGCAGGAGGACAGTTTTAAAGGAACTGCCCTTTTCCAGACGTCAGTGAGGGTGTAAAGCAGCTGGTGAACCAGTCTTCAAATAAAGCTCGCGTCACTCAGATCTTGTCATTGGCTCAGTAGTACCCAGGCAGCGCTTGCTCACTAACCGGCTTCAATCCACACGGGTTCTCGGAGCAACAGAGGAGGAAAGGCCTCAGCTTGAACCCAGTAACATTTCCTCCCAACAGCATGTGACTCTGTCCCTGAAAACTTTGAAGTTGGGCAGTGTTTTCACTTCATCATATTACCTAGGACCTTTCAGGCATTTTCTTCCAAAAAAGTCTCGGTTTCACCCACATTGGAGATTTGTTCTGGGCAGTAGCTGCCTTTCTGATACTATCAAATTGGCCAAGAACTTTTTCTGCTGCTTCTATGTCCGGACTTGCCGCCTCACCATCGACACTCTGATTATGCTGGTTGAATCTCCCACAAAACTGCTGAAACTGGGCTGGGGATGTAGCTCAGTGGTACAGCGCCTGCCTGGCAAGCTTGAGGCCCTGAGTTTGATTCCTGGTACCAAAAACAAAACAACAAAACAAAACAAAACAAAAAACAAACACTAGAATCATCCATGACATGAATGTAAAAGTTCCCATCAATTCCTCACCTTTATGTATCTTCAGAGTCTTTTTTTGGCTTTTTGAGATAGGCTCTCACTATGCAGTTCAGGCTGATCTTGAACTTTCTATGTAGCTGAGGCTGGCCTTGAACTTGTAGTGATCCTCCTGCGTCAGCCTCCCAAGTGGTGTGACTACAGTCATGCACTATCATGCCGGCTTCAAAGTCTTGAAGACAGTGGGTGCCTTAGCTTGATTTCCCGAAAGACTCGTTGGCATTCTTTTTTGTCATCAAACCAGATGGCTAATAATTTTTCCATGTCATGAACGAGGACCTTCTGCTGCCTAGTTATTATGGTTTTAAAACCTGTTGATGTTTTCACCGCCTCTTTCATCTGTTTTTATCCTTCAGGATTGTTGCAATGGTTGAATGTGGCAGAATCAAGTCCTGTGCTATTGCTTTAACTTTTTAAAACAACTTCACAGTTCTGTATGATCTTCATTTTCAGGTCAAGATCAATAGCCTACTTTTGTTTCTCCTGATGAACTCATGCTTTTCCATTTTGATGACATCTCATACTTTGTTCTTCTTACTCCACAACAAACCAGCCTCCCTGGGGGTGACACCCTGTCTCTAGGGGTGATTTTAAAGGTGAACTTTATCCAGAAGCTGTTACTGCCAGCAGTAGTTTTTGTCAAGATGTGTGGGTCTTAGGGTGACCTGGGGAAGCCCCTGCTAAGGGACCACCCTGATGCAGTGGGCAGCTCAGATCCCTGGGGCAACGACTTGAGAGTCACAGCAGCTTCCTGATGTCCGCTTCGAGGCCCCTTGTCTTGAGACCCTTGCCATTACCTTCCCTGGCCGCCTTTTCTCCAGCCCATTCAGTTATTGCTGTGCCCTTTGTACTGGAAAAACCTAAGAGGGTTTCTGTTTTCATTAGTGAAATCTTGTGGGTAGATTCACTGGCAGTTTGTATTTTAGATATGGGTCAAAAGGGATTTAACCACAAGGGAAATTTCAGGGGAGAGTGATGATTTGGCTGGATTGTGTCATTCCACTCTATCCTTCCTCTACTTCTGCTTTTGGACAAAAGAAACAATCCAGCCAACCAACCAAAAGAAATTCATAACCCTGCTGTTGAATCTTGGTCATCTTTAACTTCAACTGGCCTCTTTCTTTATAGGTCCACTGGCTTATATTAGTGTTAGAGAGGCAGGTTGATAACTTGTTACGTGCTCTCCTCTCTGAGAATGTATGGAAATATGAGAAGTTAGGTGTGAAGACAAGTATGGAAGTATCACCGAGCAGACCTTTATCTTAATGGAGATGGAATAAAAATAGAAATCCTTTCTGATTTCTAGGGTTTTTGTGATGAATGAATAATCATTGTTGATATTTCTTTAAGTTACTTCTCTCAAGTTAGATCAAGAATAAAAACAGGTTGGCAACATACGATATAAGATGAAGGTTTAGATAGCCAATACAGAAGTGATGTAGATAGATCAATGAAAAATGATTTTTAAAGGCTAGCACTTAAGTTTTCACAAGAAAGAATTCAACTCTCTAGGCAAGTCATTTGACTTCATAACATTTTCAAATCACTCATATTAAGGTGTTAGGAGCTGAGAAAATAGAAGGAAGTATTTTTTAAGCTCCTAGGTAATAACGGGTGCAGCCATAGTGTAGCCAGCCAAGAGAAGAAGTGAGCTTAAAGACTACTTGACAGCAGCAGAGTATAATATTGATTAACTGATTGTTGAGGATAAGTCCTCTTCATATATGGTAGTGTAGACGTTCAATAACCACAATACATTACCTTTTATATGACCTGTTCAAACTGGGTAAAATTAATATTTTTAAAACTTTGGTTATGGTATATTTTTAAAATGAAAAAAAAAAAATGGCCAAAAGAAGTTTTGAACTTGTCCTTCAACCTGGAAGTGAATCAACAAAATGTAGCTTTGCTTAAATGTTGCTCTCAGCACTGTTCTTTTTCTTTGGTCTCACAGGAAAAGGAGTCCGTCAGTGTCCAGAGATCAGAACAGAAGATACGACCAAAGGGAAGAAAGCGAGGAGTATTCACAGTATGCCCCTTCTGATAGCGCAATGCCTAGATCGCCGTCAGATTATGCTGATAGACGATCTCAACACGAACCTCAGTTTTATGAAGAACCTGACCATTTAAATTACAGGGACTCCAACAGGAGAAGTCACAGGCATTCCAAAGAATACACTGTAGATGATGAAGATGTGGAGAGCAGAGACGAATATGACAGGCAAAGGAGAGAGGAGGAGTACCAGGCCCGCTACCGCAGCGATCCAAATCTGGCTCGTTACCCCGTGAAGCCTCAGCCCTATGAGGAACAGATGCGCATCCACGCCGAGGTGTCCCGTGCGAGGCACGAAAGAAGGCATAGTGATGTCTCCTTGGCAAATGCTGAGCTGGAAGAGTCCAGGGTTTCTCTGCTAAGAATGGACCGACCATCAAGGCAGAGGTCTACATCTGAACGGAGAGCTGCGATGGAAAATCAGAGATCGTATTCAATGGAAAGAACTCGAGAGGCTCAGGGACAAAGTTCTTATCCACAAAGGACCACAAACCATAGTCCTCCTACCCCTCGCAGGAGTCCAATACCCCTTGATAGACCAGACCTGAGGCGCACTGACTCACTAAGGAAGCAGCACCACCTAGACCCCGGCTCTGCTGTACGGAAAACGAAAAGGGAAAAAATGGAAACAATGTTGAGGAATGATTCCCTCAGTTCGGACCAGTCAGAGTCAGTGAGACCACCCCCACCAAAGCCTCATAAATCAAAGAAGGGAGGTAAAATGCGGCAGGTGTCACTGAGCAGTTCAGAGGAGGAGCTGGCTTCCACACCCGAGTACACAAGCTGTGATGATGTTGAGATTGAAAGTGAGAGTGTAAGTGAGAAAGGTAAGCCTTTTGTTTTAGATTACAAGTCAGTATTTAACCTTCAGTAGTGAGCTGTTCCTACCTTCGTTTAAAATCTTAATCATGTTGGTCACGTGAAAAAAAGTCTCCGATTAGAAAAAATTGAGTCTTCTGTTCATGTAGTAGAAAAGTCTTTTCCAAAATGCTTTCTTGCTTGGTTTCTGAAATTTTTCCTTGCATCACTTGATGACATTTTAAGAATATTAGCTCTCATTTAAAAATACCTCTTTTTTTTGTGTCTCCGTATTAACATATAATATAGTCACTGTAGAATATATGAGGCCATCCTCAAAGTATAGAGAGTGAAAGACAAGTTACCTACATTCCCTTCCCCCATATGACCATTGTTAACCCTTTATTTTATTTTCTTCCTTTTCACCTGTGCATATGTAGCTTATAGATTTATAAAATTGATATTGTACTTTTAAAAAATAATTTTGTATCTTGAGTTTTTTTCAGTTTATATTAAACTATAAGGTGTTCTTTAGAATATGTTTAAATGGCTGCACTACTGTTCTATCACAAGAAAGTAACACAGCTAAGTATTTGAGGCATTGCAATTGTTTACAGAATCTTTTTATATAATTTTTACCAACATACCTGAATATGTCAAAGGTATATATTTGTGCTTTGGATTATTTTTAAAGCTTCAATTCAGATTTCCATGTTGTTTTCCAGAAAGGTTATAATATTCTCTACTTCTGTCAGATGTGTTTGAGCGAGCTTTTATTTTCATGGCACCAGAACTTTGACAGTTAACTAAAGGACACACACACACACACACACACACACACCACACACATGCACACACACCTGCACACACATACACATATGCACACACATGTGCGTGTGTGCACACACACAATTATTTCTTCTTTTAAATTGAAGTTGCTTGTGAGGTTGATTTTTAAATTTTTTAAAGTAGGCTTATTGGTGTTTGAATTATTGAGTTATTCTAATATTCTTTCCTGCCCATCTTTCTATTGGGTAGTAATTCATTTTTCTTTTATTGATTTATAAGCACTTTAAAAATATATTAGAGTTTTACCTCATTTAACTGTTATTTGTTGCAATTTATTTCCCATTTCATTAATTCTGATTATTTAGAAACACTGAATTTAATGCCAAATCAAACCTTTATATCTTTGATGATTTTTTTCATTATTCACCACTAGAAACTCTTATTCATCCCCAAATCAGTTACACATTTAGCATTATATTTTGTTAGTTTTATTTTTTCGTCACTTTTGAGTTTATTTTGGTGTGTAACAGAATGTGCTGGACTGATGAGAACATGCATCCCTTGTACAGTCCTGCTTCCCGCCTCTCTCAGTGTATCATACCATTTGGAGAATAGTCCATTTCCTCATTAAGAATAAACGGGAATCAGAGAGGGAATTCAGGAAGGCAGCTAGATTAAAATTAATGTAGTCATTTTATACTGTATCAAAGGTAATTAGTTAGAAAATATAAATTAAGAGGAGTTCCTATTCTGACCTAAAAACAGAAAATATGATTTAAAAATAATTAACAAAGAATAAGGGGACCTGTGAGAAGAACTCTAAAGATTAACTGGGTAGCATAAAAGAAAATGTGAATTCATTTCATGTTCCTAATTGGGAAGACTTACTACTGTAAAGATGCATGCCAAATAATCTTTCAAATTAATAACATTATAGTCAGAATCCTAATTGGACCCTTGGGATTTCTTATTTTCTAACTTAATATGAAAGGAAAAAATACTGGTAAGAATACCTAAGAGTAGTGATGAAGAATTTACCCGACAGATATTAATAAAGTGATAATAATTTAAGGCGTGGCACTGATAGAAAATTTGACAGACAGATCATGGAATTCTAATACAGTATATTATACATAAATAAATGACAGAAACACTAAAAGCACTGAAATCCAACCAAGATGAAACAGTTATTCAACAACTGAAGAAAATGCATGTGCAGTTGGAATAAATTGTTATAGATTTATTTTACATTTCATTTGACTGATATACTACCTGAAAATTGTATTCACTAAAAAATGACTATCCCGAAGAGAATTATATATGTAGTATTAATCAAGTTTAGCACATATTATTTAGAAATTTTATTTTCCCTAAGCAGTTAAACTTTCTTAAGTATATTTAGTGATCTTTAGTGTGGTCATTTCCCACATTTGTCAGATTGTATAATAATACTGCTATTAGAAAATTAGAAAAGGATAGACTTGTTATTTTTGGTAGTTTAGATTATATTCTATATGGTAGGTACTTATACTGACCTTTGCTAAAGTAATACCTTTATTTTGCTACATAAAAATGTGAAAAACAAAGTGACTTCATCACAACAGTACTTGCATGTTTTTCTATGTGGTGGCCTTCTAAAGCCTTGAATTTTGTTTAGGAATTGCAGGATTCCTTTGTAAACTGTCTCCCATAAAAAAGAGCTATGTATGAATTAAATTAAAATCTTACATGATATTATTTAGCAAAACTAAAGCATTTGTTAAATGTAGAAAGAAACTACATGTCACTCGTATTTGAATTCTTCCCGAGCTTGAATCCCTAGTAGATGCTTTTGGAGAGAGTCGTCGTCGTCACTTTCTAATGGTTTGTCTCACAGGGTGCAGTGTCTGCTGACATCATTGCCGAGAGACAGTCATACTTTCAGATTTGGGCAAGAAATCTGAATGAAGTGATTTCTGCCTGTTCAGTATTTCTTCAATAGTAGAATTTAGTGAGGTGAAATTATACTTGCTGAGAGACTGGAAATGATGGGAAAGAAAAAGAATCACGGCATAGCTTGACTTCCCTTTATTGGAGTAGCATTTCTAGTTATTTGTGGGAGAAGTATCAACCTGATTTTGGAATAAACTACTTTTCCTATTTTAAAGGGAAAAACAATAACAAAATAACAAAAACAAAAACTAAACAATACAAAAACAATAAAAATAGTACAGGATTTCAAAACAAGATGATATGAATTAACAGGATTGTTATAATACATATTGTTATCTTAAACGAAGTTGCTCAGATTACCAGGTGCAAGAATGCAAGATTGATCAAACAATTAAAGAGAATAAAAAGTAATAAAAAACATTAGAAATGATGCAGAGCTTCACTAAAGAAGATGGTAGGAATTCAGCAATTGTATTATATGGCATATTGTTGTCTTCAAAGTATTTGTTCAGATTACCAGATATAAGCATGCCAAATTGGTCAAGAAAAAAACCAAAATTTAAGCATTAACTGTTTCTTTTGATAAACCAATAGACATCAACAGTACAATTATCCCAGCTATCCTTGTATATCTATATTTATATATCCATATCTATATCTATATATTTCCCCTCCTTCTTTCTTTCTTTTCTCCTTTCCCTCATCCCAGTTATTCCTTCCCTTTGAGCAATTTCTTTCCCTTCCACAATATTTATTGTACCTTTTGGATTTTATTTACTCTTTCAGGTTCTTACACTAGGGAGACAATATAATGTTTAGACATGTGGGTCTGACTTACTTCTCTTATGAGTATGGTCTCTAGTTGCCTCCATTTACCTATAAAGGCCTCAAGTTTATCTTTCTTTATAGCTGAGTGATACTCCATTGTATAAAAATACCACATCTTTTTTATCGATTCCTCTGTTGATGGGCATTTGGGTTGTTTCCAAGATTTAGCTATGACAAATTGCACTACTATAAACATGGGTGCACATATATTGCTGTGGTATGATGTTTTCAGTTTTTCTGGAAAAATACCCAGAGGGGAATAGCTGGGTTGAATGGGACCTCTAATCCTAATTTTGTGAGGAATTTCCACACTGATTTCCACAGTGGTTGCACCAGCCTACACTTCCACCAGCAGGGGAGAAGGGTTCCTTTTTCCCCACAGCCCCTCTAGAATTTGTTATTGGTTGATTTCTTGATAATGGCCATCTTTCTGGGGTGAGATGTGGAATAAACTACTTTTAAAGATATCTGACATTGTGATTCGTAACCATCCTTAGTATTTAACTAATGTTTGACATATCTTCCTAGTAATTGAAGAAGTTTCATTAGTGGCATTTAAATCCATTATTCCTCGCATATTTATATGTGGTGACATCATTCTTGTGAGGACAGCTAACTTTTGAAGATCATCATCCTTTTATTTTATTATTCATAGGCTGAATAACTCCAGAGAATGTGTTTTACCACTCAGATATCTTTCTCATTTTTCTGACTTTTCTGTTCCTTTTTTTTTCAGTGCACTACCTTTCAAAACTATGCAAGGCAATTTGGATCAAGTAATTTAAATTTAAAATGTTAACCAAAACTGTCACAGATAGTAACAGGTAACATTATCATTGCAGAAGAATTCCTTCGGGTCCTAGTAGGTTAAGATCTTTCCTGCTCTTTAAATAATAAAAATTCTATTGGCAATCCACAGCAAGCATATAATTCATTCAATTTAAAATTCTTTTTTCCCCTGTACCCTTTTGACTCTTCTGTTTTTTTCTTGTCTTAGCTTCATTGGTGCATTGATGACTTTGACTTTTACTCATTTGTCACTTTGGATAGATTTCATTATTCTCAATATAAAAGAATTTCATTCAAACTTGAAATCAGTGTCACTTTATCCACTATAGTCTAATAAGTTATGCTGATAGTTACAATCCATGATTGCCGTTGTTCCTGTAAGAGTGACGAAAAAGTTTAATAGGAAGAGGGAGTCTCAGTTTTGGAGTTTAAGATAAAATCTTTTGTGTGTTATTTACTAACAGCATGATCTTTTCCTACTTTTTAAACCACTCTAGGTCTATTTCCTTACCTATAAACGTGTACATCAGAGTAATAGCATTTCTATTGTTTGGTAATTGTAGGAATTGAATACTGTTTGTCAAGTAGCAGGTGTTCAAATCATTTTTAGGTTCCTTAGGTAATGTTCTGTATAGTCAAGATTTCTGCAGGACAATGCTCAAGTGTTTTGAATGAAAGCATAATTGTGGGC